CGCGGGGGGTTGCCGGGGGGGCCCGGAGCTGCCCGCGACCCCCCCCCCCCTCAGCGACCCCAGGATCACGGTCCTCTCCCGAGCTCGGGGACAGGCTCAGGACCCCTCCCCAGGCTCAGGGTGCCCCTCCCCAGCTCAGCAGCTCGGTGTCCCCCTCGGGATGGGTTCCAGGATCCCCGCGGCTCAGGGACACCCCGTTCCCGACCCAGGGTCGCCCCGGGCACTCCGCGGGGCCGGTGCCGGTGCCGGGGCGGGGCGGGACCCGCGGGGGTTCCCACGCAGGAACCGGCCGGGTGGGTCGGGGCAGGGGGGGGAAGGGGAGGCGGCTCCGGCCGTGCCCCCCCCGGGCGGGAGCCGGGGCCGGGGAGGGGCCGGTGGTGAGTCAGGGCTGGGCCTGGGGCCCCCCCTGACCCCCCCGGCCGGGGGTGGAGCCGCAGCCGCTCCCGCCGTGCCGGCAGCCAGCGCCGCTCCGCGTCGGATCGCGCCGGGACGTGCCGGGCCATACGGGGCTGTACCGGACTGCGCCGAGCTGTGCCAGGCCGTACCGGGCCGAACTGGACCGTACCGCGCTGGGCTGGACCACCTGAGTCGTGCTGGGCGGTACCGGACCGTAGTGAGCTGGGCCGTGCCGTAGTGAGCTGGGCCGTGCCGGGCCGTGCTGGGCTGTGCCGGGCCGTGCTGGGCTGTGCCGGGCCGTGCTGGGCTGTGCCATACGAGGCGCTGCCGGGCTCCGTGGAGCTGTGAGCGAGCCCCGCTGCCCGCGCCATGGTGGCGGGGATGCTGATGCCGCTGGAGCGGCTCCGCTCCATCCTGGAGCTGCTGTTCCGCGAGGGCGTGCTGGTCGGGGAGCGGGACGGCTGCCCCCGGCGCACCCACCCGCAGCTGCCCGGCGTGGCCAACGTGGAGGTGCGGCGCGCCATGGCCTCGCTGCGCTCCCGCGGCCTCGTGCGACAGACGGCGGCCTGGCGACACCTCTACTGGTACCTGACGGACGCCGGCGTGGCTCACCTGCGCCAGTACCTGCGGCTGCCGCCGGACGTGGTGCCGCGCTCCCTGCAGCGCGTCCCGCGCCCCGCCGCCCCCCGCCCCGAGCCCC